GCTGTTTGAAAATGCTTGGAGAGGTTGAGCTCCAATAAGTCATACAATTCCAGGCTTTTCGTTGTTACTGACTACTTTTAAACCGCTGAAACGAACACCGACAATTGCTATATGATGGAGCACTGTCACCATGAGCTTTTGGAGGTGTTCGGTAGCTTTGGCAGTAGATTTCTTCAAATTAAACAACAAGAATAATGAGAGTCGAATCTGCAATTTTGAGCGTTCCATGATTGGCATCGGCGTACGATGAATCTCTCAATAATACTAAATGGAGAACTGTCATTGTAGGTAGAGAAAGGTCAAAATGATCGAATTTAATGGTTATGTAAACTGTGGAAATCGCCTCGCAAAATGAATGCAAGCACCTAACAAAAAAGCTATTGTGGTCCACGACCGTACGCTTCCTCATGCAACGACTTTTCAAAAGACGGCTTTTTCTGGCCGAAAAGTGATCCGATCCGAACTATTTTCAATAGCGCTTTTCCTATGATCGAAACGCGTTAGTGTACCAAAATCTATTAAAACAACTCAAAAATTGCAATCTGCAGATGGGAGAGATCACGAGAGTGATTCTGAATCGAATAATCGTATAATAAAAACTTGGTCTACCTCAACTCTTTGTGGGTATTGCATACATCCACATAACCTAAAGATATACCCTTAACTGAAAATATTGAATGAGGACTGACTGCCTTCATTCATTCATTTGATATCAAAGATATATTTTCGAGTATTTATTGACTGTACAATTTTATGCTGCATATATGAGTTTTGCATAACTAGATGAATTTCTGCATCAATGAAATTGAAAAAAGCGAAAAACAATTCAATAAAAAGTAAAAGCAAATATTTACAAAAACAACTATTAACACGTAATGTGTTGAGTGTGAAAAGCACTTTCTCCGCGAATAAAATTATTTCCTTTCGGTTGCCGCGATTCAGAAATGACTTAAATCTTTACAATATATTATAGCTTAAATAAGATGCAGATAAATTGAGATAAGTAAAAACACTAGAATGGAACAGGGCCGGTCCACCGTTAAAACCACCCTACAGCATCCTACGGGTATTCATAAAAAGACCTTTCAAAATAACGCCTCGTAGGGGAACTGATCGAAAAAGTGATCCAATCCGAAGCATTTTCAATAGCGTACGTTCTTCGAACGTCCTTGGCACGTCGTTGTGCCAAATTTCAAAATCAAAACATCCTCAAAATTGCAACCTATAGGAAGAACAAAAAAAAAAAAAAAAAAACAGGGCGAGCAAATGGAAAAACGAACAAATGAATCTAATTACGATTCAAATAATGATATTGAATCGATCGATTTAATAAAAAGTCGGTCTATCCCAACTTCTTCAAGGTATATTGCATGCATCACTTTATGCCACAAGTTGGTATAGGGCATAAAAAGAAAATGTTAACTTATTTAATTTTATCATAGATAAGACCTTTTGTTAAGAAGCGAAGAAAAACCGATAACTAATGTTTAGTAGAAGATCTATACTCTTGTGTGTCTTAATATGTGTCTTTGCCAAAGAAAAAAGTTAATATATCTTTTTGAAAATGATTCGTACCGAGAGAGACGTAAATGAATGAGTGAATTGTATGGGAAACCATGTGCAAGGTATGACAATATTCATAAAGGTTATACAGTCATGATCGTTATCGAAACCTGCACATACCGTAATAATTTTCTTTATTGTCATTGTTTCTTGCGGTTAACATTTACTATGCAGTGATTGCTGACAACCGTTGTATATAAAAGAAAAAAAAAAAATTCTTCTTTTCGGATCAGTTAAAATGAAGGTAATTAATTTCAAATTTGATCACTCACTATACGTTCGTTTGTTTCTTACAAGAGCTAACACCTCACAAAACTTCGGGAACACAACAACATTTCGAAATAGACTAAGGCATAAGTGAACATAATAGAGTGATGCTAATTATTAGGCGGGCATTTAAATATTTAAAAAATCATTTGTGAAAAATGTTAAAAAATGTTAACACCGAAGTCCATTCTCGCGAAACACTCTTAATTTCAGGCAGTCTGTTGCACTGAGTGCAACTGGGTTCAAATAAGAAACCATTTACCCTAAATAGCTATAGTGATGTACATACATGAATGAATGAATCAAAAAAATTCACATTACGACTAAGAAAAAAAAATATTATTGATCCGAATGGGTAGCCGAATAGGCAAAGGATCACGATTAACAAGTCCATGTTCTCGGATTCAAATTTCAAGTACGGTAGAGTTTTCAATATAGGCGAGCATATGATCTAAGTTATCCGGTGGCCTTTAAATCCATATTTAAAATATTTAAATTGACTTATTGAAAATGTCTTAGAGGATGTTATTTAAAAGACAGTGCAGAAAGCCCGGATGAGAAAATACCAAAATTGTTTGAGTTACGCTGCGTGCCGTGTTTAAACATCACATTTCGTGTAAATCCATTTTTGCTATTTTGATAGACAGACGGACTGAGTTGTATCAAATCTACGAGTCTTGCTAATCCAGTATATGTACATTATATTTATGGAGCTTTGATGTGCAATCTGCATCTGCAAAATCTCTCTGCCTTTTTTTTTAATTAATAACAAGCTAGCAAAGTATGCTTGTATGTCCCGCATAATATATAAATTTTCGATGAGGGTATAACTTATGATAGCTACTTTGAGTTTACCTTCAAGCATGAATATTAAAAATGGAGGCCTTACTCATGCGCTACAATAAGAGGACAATATACTATTCGGTACCTCATTGTACCCTTACTCTACGAGATTTAGAATAAATTGAAGCGTTCTCCTACTCATTTATTATTTCCCTTTCGAATTCATGCAAAAATTGAGATAAGATATCGCAAATTTCACTATTTTACCTTTAGATCAATTTCATCGATCAGGTTTGAGCATAAACACGTGCGAACACAATAGTGAACATATATAAATAACGTGAGAAAAAGCGAATATTTGATTATACTTTCATTCATAATTTACTTAACCTGAAATGCTATTCAAATAATTAATAAAACTATTTGAAAAACCTACGGTGGAGAAAATTTCAATCGATTCATTAACAAAGGCATCCAAAGTCGGTCCAAGGCACATTTTTTCTTTGTCGATTTGATTATTGACTTGAAGAAAAATTTGAAGATACCACGCTGTTTATCGTAAATACGATATAATGCTTGAAATATCGCTTTATCGACATTTCCATAAATGATTATACCAAAAAATATTTTCCCCTAAAACTATGCTATACTGTTTTTTTTTTTTTTTAAAGTAGCTCAAAAGTCTATTCTTTTGCATATTTGAAAAATTAATGAGAGCAATTTCAAAATACTTGTTAACCAATTTATGAAATCGAACGTTAAACTTAATCTAGGGTAATAATAATTCACCAATTTTGTTATGGAAAAACAAAGCGATTGTGTCTATAAAGATTCATATTAATGAAGCATAGCATGAAACCGATCAAAAAGTGAACATACAATAAACTCATACTCATAGGTCATATACACAAGTACATAATATAGTTGTGTAATATGTTTGTAATATAGACAAGTCGTCGAATTTTTTAGACAAAGTGAAGGTCTGGCTTTATTTAAGCGTCGTTCAATACGTAAATTAATTGTAAATTGTGATCAAAAAGAAAGCCTAGATCAAGAAACGAGCCAATGTGTGCTCCAATTTCGTATAAATAAGTACACTACTCAATTATGAACGAGCTAAAGGAAAAAGGTTTAATTATCTAAATCGGATAGGGGGAGGCATAATTGAGATTAAAGAAAGAGAAGACTTTAACTTTATCAGCTTACATTAAGATTTGAAATGAGTTAATAATAACTGATTTATGAATGATTTATTTTGAGGAAATCAAAAAAGAACTCTCCCTCCCAAGCCATATAGGTTATTTTAAGATAAAAATAAATATCTTAAAATAGTTATCCTAAAATATAGTCGCACTTATCACATCTTTAAGATTTTATTCTCGTTCGCAGACATAATGAAAACTTAATAGAAGGATAAATCCTGATGCGGTATATCAAAGCCGTTGAGCATTAAAGCAAGCAAACTAAGACGGACTTGCATGCCGTGTATTAAGTAAAGAATAAATTCCACATGTTTTATTTTGCTTAAAAAAATAATAAAAAAAAAAAACTAAAAATAAAAAAACAAAAAAAATGAAGTGCGCATGTCTTGATTGTGTCATAATCAGTTACCAGAAGAGCTCATTTAAAACAGACGTAAAACAACACTATAGGAGTAAAGAACATTCATGTTTTGAACATAGTGTGCTTACAAAAAAGAAGAAAAAAAAAAAAAAAATTGCAAAAATAAGATTTCATAAGCATTAAAACTTGCATGTGTCTTATTGAACCGTTTAGACCATCCCTTGTTAAAGTTACGATGAGTAATTTGGCAAGTTCTCCTAGAGGGTCCACATCACCCGTTGGGGCCAGGCGTGTACGCACTGATTTAAAGACATCGGAAAATGTATATTTGACTAATAGCTATGGACCAACGCGTTCAAGAGCATCATCTCCATTAACTGCAACAAGAATAAGACTGCCATCATCTTACCCAGTGCATAGTTATAAGCGACTGCATAGTAATACAACTCAAGGCCCAAACACCAGTGCGGATGAAGTGCGAACAACCGCAACAACTGTTGCTAACACAAGAAGATTTATAAGACGCAGTGACTTTATATTAACTGCCGCTAAGCATACCGTCAATGACTCACGTATTTTATCGACTAGTGCACCACACGAGGGCTCTTCATATATTAGGTTGTGTTTGCTTCATTGATATAGTTATAATGTAATCTAATGCATATATATATATATATATATACATAATATATATATATATATATAAATATATATATATATTGTTTTGATTTCTCTTCTACGCATCAAATGCAGAAAAAGCAATTATCGCATAACAAACATAATTATCTACATGTATATGTACATTTTTATTCTATATATTGTAGTGCGCATCTGCCAGCACGTGCTACCCGTCTTTTAAATCGCTCACGTATACAACAACATTGTACCCTAAATAACGAAGATTCCGACAGCACCAACAAATCTCCGCTTAGTGTGCGCCGCAATAAAGCCAATACAGCATCTTCGCGTACTTCCAATGCATCTCCATCAACAGGCAATAGTTCTATAAACTCATCATTGAAACGCAATCAATACGGTCACCATCAACATAACTATCAACAGCAACAGCAGCAGCAACAGCGTTTACATCAACGCGATATACACAGCTCTTCGGACGATCTCATGTTGTATGACAAATCATTCAGGAATGCCATGATCCAAGATGTACTACACTTTAAAAAGCAACTTTTACGTTTGCGCCGCATCCTACAGGAGGTTAGTTTTACTACATACGGTAAAATAAATATATAGTTCGTATGGTAACGAAAATTTATATTTCATTCTCTTGATCGCTTCTTCTTTTTTTTGCTAACAATTTCGTTTCGGAGACAAAATCAAACAATCTTGATTTTTAATTTTAAATTCCAGTTGGTGGTTGGAGATGCGTCGGATGCGTCTATAAACGAACCTTTCCTAAAGAACTTTATTCTTTAGAAATTCTCTAATATGAATAGCTCTCTTCATATGTGGGTAGTCAGTCAATCATTCACTTTAGATGAAGGCACACAATAACTTCTTATATAGATAATATTTTTCTGGAAGTAACGTACTATCTAGTAGTTTTTTCTTTTAATACGACAAATCACTTAGGGCATGTCCTCTGTCCTCTGGGTATTAATGGGCGTAGGTTGTCTGCTGAAAAGTGTCCGATCTAAATGTGACGATGGCAAGCAGCACTTGTCTACTAAAGTTGGGAATAATGTTTGCATACGCGTTGATAAGTGTTCACTACAATTTACGATATTTTAGGCGCGGTCACAGTTCACAGTTCCGACTGATTATAGGGAAAAATGAGTATCGAGCTGTCATTAAGTATTCACTTTTGAAAGGTAAAACATTCACGGAAATTAAAAACGAGTTTGGCGCTCTGTGCGGACTCTGTATCACCATTTACCGCAGGGCAACTTCGGGGAACATACCAAGTTGTCTCGGTGAGCGTGAACGTTCGAAACTACCAACAACTGTGACAACTGAAGGAGCCGTCGATTGCGACAACAGAATGAGATGAATGGAAGTTTGGTTTGCTGTCCACCTATCCACCATCTTTTATACATCTAATCCCCAGCGACTATTATCGGTGAAAGTATGAAAGGTTTCTCTAGGGAAATTGAAGCGCATTTCGAGGATTTTGACAAATAATTCCACGAAAGGTTGATAAGTAAAACTAGGTCCTTTCTTAGTTGTTAGGATAGAAACTTATGTATTACCTGTGCGCGATCTATTGTGCATGTGTGACAGTATATGATAAATGAAGTAAACCTATCGTATTTATATCGCATATGTCGTATTTATCGACGTTAATGTTATTCCATTTCATTTGAAATTTTTCGAATAAAATCGTACAAATATCAGTCGAGCCTGTTAGAGCCGAAGTTAAATTGTAATTGAAATAAATAAATTTTGCATTTTCTTCTGTTACAGACGGAAACTCTCAATCCATTTGAAAATGATAATGGGCAACTATTCGCGTCCTGTGGCTTGGATAGCAAACTCTTGGATGATATTGATTTGGCAAGTCTGACGACATCGACAACCGATGACCCTATGCAGGAGTTAGCTGATCTACGAAGACAGGTGGTTTACCTTCAGGTATTTGCACGTTATTACGATTTGATTTTGTGTTGGCATTATTTTGCTTTTGATATGTGATTGATTGCGGATTGATTTCCAAAAAAATAACGATAATAATAATAATAACTCAGTTGCCAACTCCTTCAGTAAATATTCTCCTATAAACGACAAGTTATAAATTCTTTACATTAATTAATTTAAAAACAAAAACAAAAAAATAAAAATAAAAACAAAAAAAAGCCAGATATATAAATGTAGTTGCAGTTCCATGTTAATAGTTATGTAAAAACTGTACATATATATATATATATATATATATATATATATATATGTATGTGTGTATGTATAATGTATAATGTATATATAAATATATATATATATGTATGTATCTTTTTGTAATCCACTTCTTTTTTATGGTCTTTACATGTTAAACAAGAAAAACGAAGAGAAAGATTAATTTCGGCTTAGGTCGAAACTTTTGGTACCAATTATTTGAATAAATTATTGTTTTTTTTTAATAGCTGTTATCGGATGTACGTATAGGTTATCAGAAGTAATTATAAATTTAGAATGAATGTCCATTAAATTTGAACTCCAAACGGCAGTTAACGAACTAACTAACATCCCGACCCCTAACGATGTATGCTCGTTTGCTTTCGTCTACAGAAAAGCACAATCCCCGTTCGCACTTTATGCCCTACTTGTAAATGACGTTCAATGCCACGAACTTAGACGGAGCTACCTGAACCAAATAAATAGAAAGGTTGTGCCTGACTATTTGATTTTAACTTTCAGTGAAAAAATAACGAAAATCCAATTCGAGAGTTAAAATAATCGTAAGACCGATCTAAGTTGCAATGGGTCTTTCAACATCGATTGATATTTGCGTGGCGGAGCAACAAGCTTACCAATTATTAACTGACAACAACATTTGAACATTTAAAAATCTTGATTCTCTTGAACTGATGTAGACTTATTCGACGCGATTAAAGGTCTCTTTGAATCGCTTTAACCGACCACAAACACTCGTTTCTGTTGGAGCAGCGTTGTATTCAACATTTCACAAATCAAGATTTCTGTGACAGATATCGACAAATGTCAATTAGGACGTCGATAATCTAAGAAAAAAACTGCCCGTGCAAATATGGACGAACTCACTTTAGACGCAATTTAAATGGAAATCTTTACTATCTTTTGATCACAATCCTATATAGAAAGAAAGCGAAGCATTTTCCATATGTCAGTCCTATTCGACCGACACGTTTTATATAAAATAATTAGGAAACGCCGAGTTTTTTTTTTTTGTATTTTTGTTAGCAAAATATTATCGCTTACGGACCAGATCTCTTCCTTGACCAAATGCTAAACAAAATTTCATGAACGCTATCATGTTTGCATAAGTTGTTGAAACAAACCAACATTATCTGCATTGTCACGAATAGATTTTTACTTGAAAGCCGTAACGGACATGACTTGCGTTTCGATCATGCTTATGAAAATAAAGGTACATCCTCAAATTCTCTTCAGTAAATACACTTCCTGGGTAAACATAAAAGAATAAAATAAAAAGTTGACAAGAAAAAAAAAAAAAAAATGTTAATAGAAACAAAACCCAGAGCATGTTTTTTACCTTTAATTATTAAATTCACGTTCTACGATGAAGTTTTTGTTCTTTCTTTAATTTGCCGTATCGTTGTTTAATTAATATTTATTTCGTTGCTTTACCGAACTCTGTTGCGTGTTCGTATTAAATATTTTTATTAAATGAAATTTCTTGCTGATACATAATAGTTTCCTTTTGTTTTTTTCTAATTTCGCTAAAATAGATGAATGCATATATATATACACTGTGTGTGTGTAAATGTATGCATATTATTATATTGAAACTTAGTCTTACACTAATGTTACAATCTAGTTCTTTAGTATGTTTTCTAAGGCTTTGTTGATTTACTCTTACTAGACTTCTAACTGCACTTAATTAGTTGAATTCATTTTAATTATTCTAAATTGTAAATAGGGTCAAGTCGATGATCGTGATCGGACAATACGGTTGCAAAAAAATCTCATTGAAAAATTGGAAGCTGATAAACCAAAAATGCAACAATTACAAGGAGCAGGGACAGCAAAAGAATGTGTCAACACAGCTACGCAAACGGAAAGGGTATGTAGCAAATAAAATTTATACAATTGTAATTTTTTAACACTCGTATATATGTATAGAATTTACAGAAAAATTTCGATGAAATAATCTCGATAAGTAGCAGTCTTAAATTAGACGAACTCTTTGTCGAATTGATGCGTTACAGAAGACGATTTCTTCCCTATCACAACCAATAATTGTTAAGAAGTGAACGAAATGCGACATTAGTATGATCACTTTTTAATATCACTTACGGCTGATAATCTCACTTATTGGAAACGTTGCACATATATATATATATATATATGTTAAGGAAACCTTAAATTTGATAGCCAAAATTTTCTTTTCAAACAACAATTTTCTCTCATAACTAACAATTGCTGAGCGCAAGAAATATCAATTTTCAAACATTAGATGGCTGTCTTGCCTTATGTGCGCTCATTTGCACTAAAAAACGCTAGCGTAAGAACGAAAGGCGAGTACGAGTGTGATTTTGTATTGCAAGCGAAACGAGCGGCAATATTTGTTAGTTAAATGACAAAAAGTTGTGTGTGCTCAAAAATGAATAATGCACATGCCTTATTCATGTAAGTGGGAAAGAGACAACTTATAAATAACTTAACACTACTTGAGGAGCGAGCTTAACACCAACATTGTGTTTACATGAACAATCACATGCAAGAGTTCGCATAAGCATAAACAGTGCCGCGATGAATAGTTTTTATGACCGAAGTCAACTGACAAGAAAAATTGTAAATGGAAAACTCTATGCTCTCCGTACACTTCCTGATAAGTTAACCAAAAAATTCTTAACCTAAAAAAAGGAGAGGAAAGGCCTGGTTTGTTTCCTAATACTTATACTTAAATCTAATTTGAATTTAACAAGCGAACCCAAATCTATTTTCATAACCCCAGTAGGACTACAAAAGCAGAAAAGTCTCTACTTGTTTTTAAATTCACAAGTAAAAGTACTTTCTTAGGGGCACATAACTTGACAAGGTGTAGCACTGAACGATGAAAAGGGAGGTTTTCTTAATGGTCATGACGTTTTCATGCGCTCTGGCATTAATTTCTTAAAATAGCTTTGACAAGCGATTAATTTAGATAATTAGGTAAAAAAAAAGTCGAAAGACATAAGTTACATTTTTTCATTTTTTTTAATTGACTAACAATTGAGGGAATATCCTCTACTGCGGAGTATGGCCGTAGTCTAGCGGATGTGTGCCCACTTGGTAAGAGTTATGCCGTTACTGGTTGAGCACTCACTATAGCTACGACCAATGTGAACTCTATCGCCCTAAGTTTTGACCTCAGTTGCTCATGCGGATAAACTTTATAAGAAGTTTGACGTCACTCCGGTCATTTAGCATTATATTTAACATTAAAAAGTTGTATCTGCGTATTTATGAGATGACATTGATTCCATAAGTGGAATGTAATGTAAGTGATTTGCAAAATCAATCTCAGCAGTTAAGCCCGCTTTTTATTTAATAACTGAATATAATAACTAATAAATAAGCCCGGTTGAGCATTAAAGCCAACTGACAGAATTTGTATATGAAACGTAATTAAATCATCAAAAGTTAACAGTTTGTTCATGCTGGCAATGCCATCAGGCAATAACCTTTTCTCATGGGACAGAGTAATGAGACTTTATACTACAGGCGACAGACACGGATTAGAAGGTATCAATGACAGGCTAATATTTAAAGAAAGAGAAGAAATAATTGACATGTGATGAATTTGTTGAAAAAATCAATTTCTTCAAAACGAACCTTGTTTAGTGGGTTAATCGCTTTCTTTCATAATTAGCCGATTAGCAGAAAATCTTTTAGAAAAATTACATATCGATGGATACGGAGTTTGTCAATTCATTTAAACGTATATAAATGCTATAGTAATTTTAACAGACAGAAATAGGTGGATGCGGGAAAGTCCGTTTTCGGCATGTAATAGTAAAAATTATCCTAGTAGTCGCTTTGGAACCTTTGAAGGCCATTTGAATTTCGAAGATACAATTTTTTTCTTTTTTATATACATATATATATATATATATATATAAATCGGCTGTCTTCGTAAAAACAAAATACTAACGTCTTAATTATTCATATGATACTCATAGGAGACTGAGAGGCAGGTCCTGGTACATTTCGTTGCAAAAATGCGTACGTTAGGGTTGAATGTTGCGACTTGTGCTGTTATTTATTTCTTTTTTTTTTGTCGGTCATTTTGACATCTTGATGATGATGATTTACTCTTGTGTAAAATTTAAAAATATTTCATAATTTTTATTTATTTAATATTTGTTTTTTATTTTCAGACTCGACCTTTTTCTCTCGGTACTGATGGTTTATCAAGGTAAGCATAGTAACAGCTGTGGTAGACATTTCTAGACATTAACGGTTTGCCTTATGCATATACAAGTATATATAAAAAATTTTTTATTCTCAATTTTTCATGCTGTCTCTCTCTTTTTTTAATGGTAATAAAATACTGTTTAATACAATATGTTGATATAAATAAATGTTAAAATAAATCCAAACTCAAAATTCATTTAGACTACAATTCGGAGAACAAAAGGTATTAATCTGTGATCTTATCTTGGCTATAGTGTTATTGTGTGCCATTAATATTATATGCATTTTGCACCTAAGTTATACCTGCATATACAATTGCTCCTCCTCATGTTCATAACAATTATGTGCAGATTGTTAAAAATATTTGATTCGTTGCATAGAGAGATTTACACATTTTTATATGTATGTATAGAGTTTCTAAACAATTATGCAACGAATCAAATATTTGCAAAAAACAATTACAAAAAAAAAAAAAAACTTAATATATTTTTGTTAAATGCATTAGTAGCATTTAAGAGAGAGCTTATTAGTTAACTACAAAAACAAATTAATTGTTACAATCAAATAAAGTAAAAAAATCAATTCTGATTGCATGCTGCAAACCAATAGAAATTCGAGGTAAATTAAAATATATTTTCAGAGACACTTTTCTTTTGATAAAAGTTGTGATAAGCATGCGATATAAAAAAGCTTTTTGGTTTCCTTTTTTCCTTTTCTTTTCTTTTTTTTTTTTTAACTAATGCAAAAAATTTGAAATTAATTAATAATTCGCTTAAAAATTGCTTTTTCTCTTTTTCTCTTTATATTTATTGTATTTTTTTTTTTTTTTTTTTTTTTTTTTTTTTTTATTATTATTATTATTATTTTAAAGAAGTAAACCTGAATACACCAGCTATACGACGCTTTTTCCCGCCCTTTGCAATGATTCTACCACAATTATTCA